CCCCAAAACCCCAAAACCCCAAAACCCCTTAAGGTAATAATAGTTAAGTTAAAGCATTAAGTTTTGATTCAATAATAAATAAAATAATAGCCAAAATAAAATGAGCTAAAATCCCTCTACCAATCATAATGCCAATATATCAAGCTAAGATTAGTCATAGTTAAATGGTAAATGTACTATGATAACAAAAATTTTTAGATCTAGACAGTATAACAATATCAAATCAGAATGCAAATCAACAATAATCCTAGAAACAAGACCCCATCTCTGTTTATAACACAAATCATAAGGCTTAAGTGATGGCTCCTGAGAATAGAAACAATAATTTTACAAATAGCTCTTAAATATCAGGTCACTAAAGAGCTTAGTCTATAAAGCAGTAAGCTAAGCAGACTTCAATTACAACTTTGTAGCCAATTTCAACAATACATCCTATTCCTGAAATACCAACAAGTAAGATAAACGTTACAATCTCATTTAATAGGCGCTATGTCATAATCATTGGAACGTGGGTCTTTGTTAAAGGTTAAACAAACAAGATAAGTAATGGAGAAAGATGAAAAATTACTTGAAAATAGAATAAAAATGCTTCACAACGAGGAATAAAAGTTATTGAAAAAAATTGATATGACTCGTAAATAAGCTGAGAAGATTTTAGCCATCAAATAGTAGAATGAAGAGCATCATCGACAGAAAATTATGATGCAGATGGAACAAGATTCATCAATTGATTAGTTTAAGGAATAGAAGAGGTAAGAGAAAGAAATGAGCAAGCAGAAGTTTTAAGATTATACTCGCAGCATTTATGAAGACAAGAGAAATGCTTATATAAGCCTAAAAAATACAAGATTGACTGGCGAGCAATAAAAGCAGCAATATTTACAGACAGTTATCTAGCAAAATCAAGATCGTAAATAATAAATAAGACAGCAAGAGTTTATTGCCAAAGAAAAATTAAATCTGCACTGGAATAGCAAGGTTGAGAGGTCACAGCTAAACTATTTAGAAAAGTTAGACAAATAAAAGAATGTACTTAGTGAGAAAGCAAAGAATATTACGAAGATGGAAGAGATGGAGGCAGAACTTCTAAAAAAGCTGCAACATACATAATTAAGACACAAGGAGACTTTCTCAATGCTAGAGAATGTAATGAAAGGATAAACAGTTGGAGTAAAGACTAGGTTGACTTAATCTGTCGATTCTAGATCTGAAATGGGCGAGGTCAATAAGTAATCTAAGACTGATTCAAGCATGAATAACGGTTTCTAGAAGAAAAAATATTGATTAAGCCTTTTAATTATTTAATTATTCTCAACCAAAATATTTATTTCTTTTACAATGGGGTTTTGGGGTTTTGGGG